TAAGTCCTCAGCCTACTGACCCATGTAGTGCAACACTTCCACACTGGTTACACGATCTCTCCAAGGAATTCCCAGTATTCTTAAACAACGCTGGTGAAAGGCATTCAGCTTCCTGGTCCGTACTTTCACCATGTGCCAGACAACGAGGCATTCAGTACTGTTGGGAGGGCAAGAGTGTAGTACAATATAATTTTAGTGTGTAGATGTATCTTCTTCTCCATCTTCTTCCAGATGTTTGACAAACAGGACACTGAGCCACTATCTTTGCCAGTTCTTGCCTTCCCTTCTTTAGTGAACTGGCCGTTGGTACATATTGTACTTCCAAGATAGATGAAGTCATCGACCTGTCATTTGATCTGCATGTCAGGTTATGTCTCTCCTTGTGTGGAAATGGGGGCAGAGTGGAGAATTGAACTGAGGTGTCCTAGTTCCTGTGTGAGTGCCCTAACCACTGGGCTAAAGGTTACAAGAGAGGCATTACCACCCCCTCCTCCCATTTTGTGAATGTCACCTAAGTCTTGAAAAAAATATTTTGGCCAAAACTGGTCAGTGAAAAATTTAGCCCACCTCTGCTCCTAACACCCATGTTACTGTGCATTGTCTCATTAAAGCAGGAGATTCCTTTTAAGTTCCTTTTTGTGTGTGTGGGCTGTGCTGATATGATAGCTGTACTCGTCTCATTATACTTTCGTGCGCCATGAATGGACACAGTACGATTGCCAGGAAAAGCTCCAAAGGCATCTGTTACTAGAACCAGCTAATTCAAATGTTGCAAAATAAATGGATTCCAGGAAACTAATTACTATGGTCAGTTAATTTAAACCTGCATCCTAATGGATAAATAGGGGACAGCTGGAGTCCTATGTTTTTCCTCTCCTACTGTTCAAAAATCCAGTAGGCTGTTTCAGGTGATACCCCTTTAATGAGCAGCTCTGCAACCGAAACGTTCCTTAGCAGTTTGAACTGGTCAAATGGGAGGTTGCATTTGCCAGTTGAAAGTGACCGTTTGAATTAGGATGAGAGAAGTGACAGGCATGACCACTGGGGGAGGCAGAGTTTGAATGGAGAAGCTTTGGTTGAATTGGGCGGTGAGGGGGGTAAATGGGGAATTGGGCTGTTTGAACTGGGCAGCTGAGGGGAGTATTTGAGAGGATGATTTGGGCAGCTGGGTGTGAACATTTGAGAGTCTCAACTCAAAGTGGGGGAGTTCAGCCTGGCCTTTGAACTGGAGGAGTAACGAGTGGCAGTTGAGAACCATTTTGAATTGGGAGAGCAGGAAGTGGCAGGTGGGGGTCACAGGCTGAAATCGGGGAGCCAGGCATGGCTGGTGAGGGTGGAATTTGAACTGGGCAGTTGTGAGAAATTTCTGGTAATGGCAGTTGGGAAGCTGCATTAGTCCATTTGAACTGAAGGAGCAGAGAATGAGAGGTTTGAAGACAGGCAAGGACAGCATTTGGGTTCTGTGGGTAGAGAAACAGAGAACAGGCCAGGAGGAAAAGTTAAGAGGCCAGGTCCTCAGTGCGTGAGATGAGCAGCATGTGAGACAGAGGGAGGAGAAAGGGATAAAGCACAAGAAGAGAAATAACAGTGAAACACCCATGGGAAGAGAGGCAAACTCCTCATTGCATGGAGGGCTTGATAGCAGCCTGACTTTGGTTAGAATGGCTTTGGTTAGAAATCTTGCCACTGGTCTTGTGCCTGCTGATAATAGCTTGGCAGGTGGTAATCAGAGACCTCTGCTACAGCTCAAAGCTAAACAAATATCAGACCCTTAATACCTTGAAATGATGCACAGTTGACTACTGGCTGGTGAGCAGTCTTTTGTCACAAGTGTTGGCTGGTTTGAGGAAACAACATTTCTTAACATCTACCTATTTCATGTCTACCCTTCATCCTCTGACTGAGCTTAAGTGCGAACTCAACATTTAGTGGTTAAATAGAAGGGTTCACTCTCCAGAACTGCCAAAACAACCCTTTAAACCAGCACTACTTAAAGGAAATGCATTTTAATTTCAGTTAAGCTAACCTACAAATTAACGTAAAATGCAAAATATAATTATGTACACGCCTTGGCTAAGGATCTCATTACAAGCAACTGAATCTGATGTGTACAGTGTGGTTTGAGATTGCAATTTAAAGCTGGATCTAAACAAATATGAGCAGAAAGTTATGTGTCTGAGTATGGAGTCAATACACTTTGTGTCTAATGCAGATGACCAGTTGCCATCTGAACCATTGTATTTAATGTTGAACTTCGCTAACTAGTCAACTTCGCTAACTAGTCTGAGGCTGGTTGAACATTGTGGTTTCTGATCTGCGGCATAATTGTTTCCTTTGTTTATTCTTACTTGACTTTTTTCCTTAGTAATTATTAGTGGCATCACAGTTACAACAGCAGCTGGAAGCCCCAACCAGGAACGGAGCCTCACTGTGCTAAGCTCTGTCCAAATAGATACTCTGGCATGGTCTTTGCTCCAAAGGCATCACAATTTAAATTGACAGTCACAGGATAGACCACGGGATGCAACATATAAGCAGGGTGATCAGAACGCGCCAAATCATCCTTGCCCTAAGTTGTCCTGTTGAGGCTCCTAGCCCACCTCGTGCAGCAGCAGCGTGGCTGCCCATGTACAATGTGCTGAACAGAGATCTTGATAAAGACTCATTCCTGATCCCTGGAACAGATGGTGCTTGATGACTTCAACCCCTCCCAAAAGAGCAATTGCCCTGGGATATAACAATAAGCCCAGCTGGCAATGTTTGAAGATACCCACCCTCCACCTAATGAAAAAACTAACATTGCCACCTCAAGACTGGCAGCTCAGGAAAAGATGAAGGGGGCCTCAGCACTATGCTACTGTGATAGGAATTGTACAGTATGCCTCCTGGACTCATTATGATGTTTCTCCTCCTCCTCAGACTTAAGGCTCAGCATAGCCTGACACTGGAGACCTTTTGCAGTTTCTTTTCTTTTCTTGGCCTTGTGTTTGAGGCCAGCTGAGATGGTACCAATGGATCCTCATAGGATAGACTATCAGATGTTTTGAACGTGGGGCCAAAGATGTCCCTGTGCTGACAGCTTCATGCTGTGGTATTGCCCTCTTTGGAGCCATTAGATAGCCCAGTGTTGAGAAAGTAGCTGCTTGGTTTGTTCCACTGGAACAAAGGTCTTAGATGCTGAAATATTTCCAGCACATGCTCTGTGACCTCAGCCAGGTTCCTTCCCCTCTATTTCTGTTCCCTTATCAGGGATCATGCCAGACACATTGTTTTGTACCAAGTATCAGAGGCGTAGCCATGTTAGTCTGTATCCACAAAAACAATGAGGAGTCCGGTGGCACCTTAAAGACTAACAGATTTAAGTCAGTTAGTCTTTAAGGTGCCACCGGACTCCTCCTTGTTCTTGTTTTGTAAAGTGTTATGGATGTTAACCATATTTTTAAATACTTATTGTTGTCACTAGGGGGAGCTGCACAACTATCACAAGCATTCAGAGCCTCTGCGCTGGAGAACTGCTAAAATTACTCCTGGTCCTGTGAGGAACACACCCCAAAGCAATAACCCGTGAGAGCACGCATCCCGTCCTGTGGTAGACCCAAGCTCTGACTGCAGCATTGCTTATCGCAAAGGGTTTAGCGTAATATACACCGAGCCAATGAATGAAAATAGAGTTACTGGAGCCGGGGGAAGCTTCTGTCCCTTCCCCATACCTCAGCAGGAGCGATGTTCAGGCAAGCTACAGCGATTTCACTTTGCAATTGCAGGAGCTGCTGGTTGGTATCTGAATAGCTGACTCTTCTTGTCCGTTCCGGTTTCTAATTCTGCTTCTTTGGCTGACACACATTTACAGTAGATGGATGGGTAGCTGCCTGCATTAAATAGCTTAGCAGAGAGACCCCTGCAGAATTACGCGGATTTATTAAACGGATGATTGCGCAGAGCAAAGTGTTAAAGGCTACCTCTGCACTTGGAAGTGGGGATGTGATTCCCAGGCAGCTGTGGCAGACATATTGGCGCTAGCTCTCTCGTCCAGATAACATGCTAGAAATAGTAGCGTGGCTGTGATAGCAAAGGCAGAGCACCGGGGCCGGCCATCTGCCATGAATGCAGACCTGCCTCTATGTTGTGGGTACCTGCGCGGGGGCAGCTAGCGTGAGCATGCCCGCTGGAAATGGGACTTACATCCCAGCTCCACGTGCAGAGGCGGGGAGGTCAGTAAAGCCCGTGTGTATTATCTCAGGGTAAATAAAGAGTTGGTTAAGGAGATGGATTTATAGATGCATGCTCAAAAGGGAGAGATGCACGCACGAGCAGAAGCATCTACTACCTGCAGGCACGTGTGGATGCAGCGCTAAGTCGCACAGTCATATGGATGCATTTTTAGGCGCACGTGCACGGAGATGCTCGTGTTCCACGGTCCGCTGCAAAGGTTCCGCAGGCCGAGGTCTGCAGGTCTGTGCGTGCGCCATAGTGTGCATGGAGCGGCGTGATGCACGGACGGATGCACGCCTGCACACGCGAATGCATGAAGCATTGATAGACAGATGCACTCAAGCTTCAGACCCGTCTAAAGAGCCGTTGCCGAAGGCGACTGGGGGCGGGTGGTTGCCGGGGCCCCGGTGCAACCAAGTCCCCGTCCAGTTCCCTGCCAGCACGCGCCAGCTCCGCTTGGGCACAGACTCGCAGAGGAGCACGCGCCTCCATGGGTCGCTCCCCTGGCAGTCCCCGCCCCCTGAGGCAGAGAGTCTCTTCCATTGGCTCGCAGAGTTCCGGTAGCCACGCCCCTCTCCCTTTCGCATACACACAGGAGTCACGCGCTCGCCGGTTGGAAACTCAGCAAGGAGGGGGTGGGGCAGGCTTCGGCAGGGCCCTGCCCCTGTCGCCTCGGCATTGGCTGGGGGGCGGCTTCGGGGCCCCGCCCGCTGGTCCCGTGCCTGCCCTGATTGGCCGCGCGCGCTGCCGGCTCCGGCCCTGGGATAGGGGTTGAAGCGGCTCCCCTCAGGGTCCGGCAGTCGGCGCCTGTCAGCTCTCGCAGGCAGCCGCCGCCGCCGCCGCGGGATGCTGCCGTCCCGCTATGTTTGGCCCCGGCGGTTCTGATCCCTGACTAAAGATGGCGCTGGGCTCGGCCGCGCTGCCCGCTCGGAACATGGCGGGGGGCGGGCGGGGGGCGCGGGTCCTGCTGCTGCTGCTCCTCAGCGGCTGCTTGGGCGAGCAGCCCCCGGCCGCCGCCGCCGCCGCCGGCGTCCCCTCCTCCTCCTCCTCGGCCGGGGGCGGCGGGGCGCCGGGCGACGCGGAGGAGACGGTGATCATCGGGCTGCGGCTGGAGGACACGGACGACGTCTCCTTCATGGAGGGGGGCGCGCTGCGGGTGAGCGAGCGGACGCGGGTCAAGCTGCGGGTCTACGGGCAGAACATCAACAACGAGACCTGGTCCCGCATCGCCTTCACCGAGCACGAGCGGCGGCGGGGCGGGCGGCCGCCGGCCGAGCAGGAGGACGGGCCGCCGGAGAGCAGCTCCCCGCAGCGCTGCGGCATCCGCACCTCGGACATCATCATCCTGCCGCACATCGTGCTCAACCGCCGCACCTCGGGCATCATCGAGATCGAGATCAAGCCCCTGCGCAAGACCGAGAAGAGCAAGTCCTACTACCTGTGCACCTCCGTGTCGGGCCCGGCCGCGCTGGGGGCCGCCGGCCCCCCCGGGGGCGGGCTGGTCGGGGCCGACGGCCCCGCCGGCCCCCCGCCCTGGACCGAGACCACCTGGATCTACCACGACGGCGAGGACACGAAGATGATCGTGGGCGAGGAGAAGAAGTTCCTGCTGCCCTTCTGGCTGCAGGTGATCTTCATCTCCCTGCTCCTCTGCCTCTCGGGCATGTTCAGCGGCCTCAACCTGGGCCTCATGGCCCTGGACCCCATGGAGCTGCGCATCGTGCAGAACTGTGGCACCGACAAGGAGAAGAACTACGCCAAGCGCATCGAGCCCGTGCGCCGCCAGGGCAACTACCTGCTGTGCTCCCTGCTGCTGGGCAACGTGCTGGTCAACACCACCCTCACCATCCTACTGGATGACATCGCTGGCTCCGGGCTGGTGGCCGTGGTGGTCTCCACCATCGGCATCGTCATCTTCGGCGAGATCGTGCCACAGGCCATCTGCTCCCGTCATGGCTTGGCTGTGGGTGCCAACACCATCTTCCTCACCAAGTTCTTCATGATGATGACCTTTCCGGCCTCCTACCCTGTCAGCAAGCTGCTGGACTGTGTGCTGGGCCAGGAGATCGGCACGGTCTACAACCGTGAGAAGCTGCTTGAGATGCTGCGGGTCACCGACCCTTACAACGATCTGGTCAAGGAGGAGCTCAACATCATCCAAGGGGCGCTGGAGCTGCGCACCAAGACGGTGGAGGATGTGATGACCCCACTCCGAGACTGCTTCATGATCGCCGCCGAGGCTGTTCTGGACTTCAACACTATGTCTGAGATCATGGAGAGTGGCTACACCCGCATCCCTGTCTTTGAGGGCGACCGCTCCAACATTGTGGACCTGCTCTTCGTCAAGGACCTGGCCTTTGTGGACCCAGATGACTGCACCCCGCTCAAGACCATCACTCGCTTCTACAACCACCCGCTGCACTTTGTCTTCAACGACACCAAGCTTGATGCCATGCTGGAGGAGTTCAAGAAAGGTGGGGCCGTAGCCATGGAGAATGGGGGGGGAGGGGCCCTGAGGGCATCTGTGGCTACCCTCCCTAGCAAGCTGGGTTGAGAGTAGAGGAGTATGCTGCAGATGGGCATTTGTCTATCCCCCTTCCCCAAAGGCTGATGTGTGGGTCTGCATAGATGTGGGGCTCCTGGTAAACCTCTTTCTGCCCCCCCCCTCCCCATTTATATGTGCACATATAGGAGCTCTGCTGATATAGATCTGCAACCCCCCCAATTGTTTGTGGTCCACACTCTCTTTCAGTTAGTCTGAGAGTAAGGAAATTGGGTTGCTGTTGTAGATCCCTAAAAGCTTCTGGGCGTTGCACACGTGCTGAGATAAACAAGGCTTTTAAACTTCATTCATAGATTCAGCTGGGCTATTTCTGTGGCATGCTTGTTTGTGTTAGTTCGCCCAGCTGATCTGATTGACGTTTAGGGTCTGTAGCTCATAAATAGCTTCAGGGCTTTTTGCACGTGTCTTACAATTATATTATACTTGCTTGTTAATGCCACACGCCAGGGTTACACCCCCCCCCACTCCCTTTCCCTCAGGTCTTTTGCCTGGTAGCCGCGGGTATGCACAATCCTTACTGATCTACACGTCCTGGTGTGTGACATAGCCCGTGTGTTGGTTGTCTAAATGTTGGATCAAAGCTACACTGCAGTTTTGTAATGTTTACCCCAGGAATTTCCAGGAATATTCCACGATAATAATTGCCTTAGTTGTGGGGTGAGTTTTCCTGGCAGACACATCTGTCCTTCTGTTTTGGATTTCTTTTGTCGTAAACAATGGTACAGCAAGTTTCAACTCTGTTCCTCTGTAAAGTAATAGAGCGGCTGCTTACATTGTGGAGGGAAATTTTTCCAAAGGAAAAATGAAGTTCCAAATTAATTGCATGTTTGTGGAGACCCTTGCTAGGAAACGCAGAGCAGTGTGGATCTCCTGAAGTCTGTCATACCCTGGGAGCTGTGATCAAAGTACTACTGAAAAGTTCAGTCACTGGGAGATAACCTCACTGAAGGAGGAGCTCTTTGGAGCATTATGCCCAGGTAAATAGGGGAATATTAGAGTTAACCTTTTCTCATGGTAACTCCTGCACTTTAGATGAACTTTGTAAATTGCACCTGGGACTTTTCTAGGCAATAAGCTCTGCCATTTAAATTTCTGTTCAGCATCTGATTTGTGTGCTAAGCTTTAAATGATCCCTATGTTTTGATTTCTAATTTAACCCGGTTACTGGGGTTTAAAGGCAGACTCCATAAGCTGCAAATTTTGGATTTCCTTTTCATTAAAAACAAATGAGCTATCTTAGTTGGTAAACATTAGTAAGTGTCTGGTTTGTTCACCTTGCCTACTTGAGCTAGTAATTTGAAGCTTTACAGACCATTTCCTACCCGTGGTTTTGTAGCTGATCAAGGGGGAAGAGCGACTCGCCTGTCTCCTGACTCTTTGACTTGTAGATTCTCTAGTGTAAAAGAGCTTTGGGAAATTGAATTATGTGCTGTCTAGCTTCAAAACTTAACTCTTGGCTAGTTAATATTGATTTCACATTTCTTAGCAAAAGTGTTCTTTTCTATATATAGTGTTCCTTTCTTCATTCAGTCCACTTTAATTGCTTAACTCAAGGTCAGGGTCACATGGTCTTAAATTTGGTTGAGTAGCGGTGTGCGTATCAAGGAGTCAAAATGACTTTGAAAGCGCTGTTTCTCTCGCTGAAGGAATTGAAATCCCACCAGTTTGCTGTTAGCATGTGGTTCCTTGTTTGGTTGTTGAGAGAAGTAGATTTGAGAATTTCAGCCCTTTCAGTGTGGGTGACCAAATATTCCCTGTTGTGATTCATGAGGATTATGATAAAAGAGGTTATCTTTTGCTTCCTTTGTGTATCTTAGAAGATGTACTCTGGAGATCTTTCCATTGTAGTCACTGAGGACTTTTGTATACATGGGGAAATTAACCAGCACAGGTTCTGACCCAGTGTGCTTAGAGCAACTGTCACTGGAATTGCCAAGGTCAGGGCAGGCTGCAAAAGGGAGAGCAGATACCCACCAGTCTTGGGAGTAACACTGAAGTTAACTCCCCCAACCAGTCACAAACTGTGCTTCTGATCCCCCTCATTGGTTATCAAGAAGCAAAAAAGAAATCTCACAGCCCCCTGTATTGCATTCCAGTTCTCTGGCTCACAATCAGCACATAGGTCCAATATGATGAGAAGTTATTTAAAAAACTCTGCTCACATTTACAAAATGTTCTTTTGACCCCAAAGAGTCAGCCACCTTACCAGGTCAATATAGGTTTGGATCTTACCCAAAATACCACGCTGCCAGCCAATCCTTTAGTGTCTAAAACTATAGGTTTACTATAAAGAAAAAAAGCAAGAAGAGAGTTGTTAAATGGTAAAGCAATCACATACCTAAAAAGACTTCAAAGTCCATATATCAGGTTCTTAGCGGTATTGGTGAGTTTGCTGGCTTGAAAGTCCCTCTGGAACACATCCACAGCTTGGATGGGTCTTTCAGTTCTTTGTTCAGAGATTGTTTGTAGCAAAGTTCCTCCAGAGGTAAGAAGCAGGACTGAAGACAAAATGCAGATGAAGCAGCTGCCATTTACAGTCCTTTTGTCATGTATCTGGTACTTCCTTTGTTTCACAGGCAAACTCAGGGCATTGAAAGGCCTTAGAGTTCTGTCCATAGGCATGCCCCTGCATGCTTTGCTGAGTCATAAGGTATAGTCCTTGGCTGCTTTCAATGGGTTCATTGTACAGCTGATGTCCCTTGATATGCCATGAAGCAAGCCTAGTGCTGATGTCAATCTGTCTTGGGGTGTCACCCAGAAACACAGCACAAGTTTGGAAATACAGATATACATTACATATCTGTAACTCCTAATACAAAGGTGACACAAAGATATAAACAAGATGATCATACTTTGCAAAACATAAAATTTTCAAGATACCTTATAGGGCATATCTGGTCAGATTCCTTGCAATTTTGCAAGAATGATAACAGAAAGTGTCCCCCAGATTCCATACAGAATGTCACAGGTATTCCGGAATAACTCCCTCATGTGAACACACTACTCTGAGAAGGGCAACAAAATGATTAAGGGTATAGAACAGCTTCCATATGAGAAGAGATTAAAAAAGACAAACTTTTGACCTTGGAAAAGAGATGGGGGGGGGGAATATGATAGAGGTCTATAAAATCATGAATGTTATAGAGAAAGTGAATAAGGAAGTATTATTTACTCCTTCACATAACACAAGAACCAGTGATCACTCAACGAGATTAATAGGCAGCAGGTTTAAAACAGAAGGAAGTACTTCACACAACACACAGCCTGTGGAACTTGTTTCCAAGTGATGTTGTAGTATAACAGGGTTCAAAAAAGAATTAGATAAGTTCATGGAGGACAGATACATCAAAGGCTATTAGCTTTACCGTTTAACAACTCTCTTCTTAAAAAAGAAAAGGAGTACTTGTGGCACCTTAGAGACTAACCAATTTATGCTCAAATAAATTGGTTAGTCTCTAAAGTGCCACAATTACTCCTTTTCTTTTTGCGAATACAAAGTAACACGGCTGCTACTCTGAAACTGTCTTCTTGTTCTTTTTCCTTTATTAGCCATTGATGTGTCAGGGATGCAACCCCATGCTCTGGGTATCCTCAGCCTCTGATTCCCAGAAGCTAGGAGTGGATGACAGGTGATGGATTACTCCATGATTGCTGGTTCTGTTCATTCCCTCTGAAGCACCTGACATTGGTCACTGTTGGAAGATAGATACTGGGCTAGATGGACTATTGACCTGACCCAGTATGGCTATTCATATCTTCTGAAATAAGTGACTTTTCTGGAATAGTGCCAACATGGGGAAGTTACTTTGGAATAGCTAAACTATTACAGAATAGGTATGCCTGTCAATTTTGTTGTGTAGACAAGCCATGGTGTTAGTGCCTTTTCCATTTAAAACTGAAATCAATCCCCCCCGGCCCCCAAGAAATGTTTCCTTAAAATAATAGGTCTGTCCTAACCCAGACTCCTGTTCAAGCATAGATATGCTGGAGAAGAAGTGCTTCTTTTGTGCCCTTTGAAACTAGCGTAAACACCTGATAACTTGCCTGATAGGTTCTGACTTCTGCAAGAATTTCCCAAACCTTTTGAGGAACACTTCTCTAGGGGACACTTGCATATTTTCATGGGAATTTAGCTAGTTTTAAGGAGAATATTTTACTATGCTGCACTTCATTCATTTCCAGCACCGTAGAAAGCTTAAGATATCTTAATCATCCCTTTCCTTCCCCTCCCCATATGCTGTGTACAATTTCTTGTCATGGGCAAGTAAATGTTACAGTTCTGTCATAGAGTGAGTACTTAAATTGGTAAAAAAATGACCTGTTTTCTCTGAAAACACGTTAGTCTGTCAGACAGGGATTGAAGCTCATTTTTAAGAGGGATTTTTTTTTCTTTTCTGTTTCTAAACTGAACAACATAAAATGGAAACTTACAAGAAAAAGCTGGAAAAACTCACCTGCACTGGGGCCTTGTGGGGTATATACCCCAGATTCATTTGGAAGAGGAATTGATGGTTTTATACATGATCTGACCTCGGGGCTGTGCTCCTGTATGGTGTGGTGCTGAGCAAATTATAAATCTATAATGTTTTGAGTGTAGTTAAAAATATGAAACAAATGGAACTGCACCACCACCCACTCTCATTTAACGTCTTAGAGTATGAATAAACGTCACTTACAAAATAGTAAGCAGAAGACGAGCTTCTCTTTGAGAGGATGGTTTCAAAAAAAGCTTCTGAAAATGGAACAATTTGCTCTTGTCCACAAGTCATTGAATAACTGCTGTCAGATCCTTCTGTATGTGACTTGCACACACTGTTTTAGCGCATCATTCTCTCTCTCTGTTTGTTTTGAAAGAATACAATATAAATTGAGGCCTCTCTGGTAGACATAGGGGACCTAACTTTTTGTCAG